CTATTTAAGTTAAAAAAAACCCCCCATACACACTCATTTTAAAAAAATTTCCCTAACCTAATTTTTGTTTATAGTATAGATTCCAAGCCAATCAAACTACTCAATCGGGGTCAACTAAAAACCAACAACAAACATCTTATCCTATATAATAAAGAGGTAATATGCAAATTGACCATCACTCAAACACACAAGATGGCTGTCCCCATGTGGACACAAGATGGCTGCCACAAGATGGCCACCACAAGAAAGCCAGCAGAGGAGGGCAGTTGGGGGCGACCAGGCCAGCGTGGGGAGCAGTAAGGGGTGACCAGGCCGGCAGGGAGGGGGCAGTTAGGGTGACTAGGCAGGTGAGCAATTAGGAGCCAGAGGTCCAGGATTGTGAGGGATGTCCGACCAGCAGTCGGACATCCCCCAAGGGGTCCCGGATAGGAAAGGGTGCAGACTGGGCTGAGGGGACCCCTCCCCCCGCACAATTTTCGTGCACTGGGCTTTAGCATACATACAAAGACTAAGTGATCAACCATACGTCCGTACGTCTGACTGACTGGCTGGTACACATGATGCACACTGGCAATTTAAAAATAAACATTGACTTGCCCATGTGCGATACATATAAAGCCCTCGAAATGGATATTATTGAAATCCCTCATGACATGATTTGTAATGGATCTATTATTGAAGCTACCTTTGGAAATAGCATATCTGTAGATAATTTTAAAAATATATCTAAATGTGTGATTCTTTGTCCTAAAAATGAGCACGTTCATAAATTAAATGAATTTTGGATACACTCGATGGACGTTTTCACACCTATTTGAGTGATGATTCCATCGATTCAACAGATGATGCCGAAAAGGAAAATTTTTCCCATTGAATTTCTTAATAGTATTACTCCTTTGGGAATGCTGTGTCATAAATTAAAATTGAAAGTAGGTGCAATCATCATGCTACTGAGAAATCTTAATAGTAAATGGGGTCTTTGTAATGGCACTAGATTTATTATCAAAAGATTGCGACCTAACATAATCGAAGCTGAAGTATTAACAGGATCTGCAGGAGAAGTTGTTCTGATTCCAAGAATTGATTTGGCCCTGTCTGACACTGGCCTCCCATTTAAATTAATTTGAAGACAGTTTCCCGTGATGCCAGCATTTGCGATGACTATTAATAAATCACAAGGACAAACTCTAGACAGAGTAGGAATATTCCTACCTGAACCCGTTTTTGGACAACTAATTAATTAGTAAAGAAAATTTACTAATTTTCAACTCTGACATTTCTATTATAGAGAAAGGGCAAATAGCGATATTAAAATATTTCTTCTTATTAATTTCCTTTCAATGTGCACAAATCTGTGCACTGGGCCACTAGTTCACCTATAAAATAAGTCATACATTTGGAAATAGAACATGTGGTGTCATATAGGCCAATATCAACTTGTACTAAATTTCTGAGTCTCCTAAATTTAGGTTGATCTGATGACTCTATATAATCCAGTGGTTCTCAACCTTCTGGCCCTTTAAATACAGTTCCTCATGTTGTGACCCAACCATAAAATTATTTGCGTTGCTACTTCATAACTGTAATGTTGCTACTGTTATGAATTGTAATGTAAATATCTGATATGCAGGATGGTCTTAGGCGACCCCTGTGAAAGGGTTGTTCAACTGCCAAAGGGGTCGTGACCCACAGGTTGAGAACTGCTGATATAACCCATGTTTTTCATAAAGAGCCTAAAGTCTTAATATTTTCCTATTTCCCAAAAGATTTATAATCTTCTGCTTCATTTCTACTGTTCAATAACATGCACCTTTATTAAAATTTTTCTTTTCCATTTATAAGGAGCTGTGGCAATATCTCTTGGGGTCGGGAGTGAGACCGCGGCCACTTCCAGCTCTCCTGTAGGCCAGCAAGAGAGGGCCAGCACCACACCACTCATGCCCAACCCAAGCTCATCTTTCACCCTGGGCCATGGAATTACTTTGGCTCCCGGGATAGCTAGATCATGCAGGGCAATCATATTCTCTGGACTGGGATAGGCCATGCAGATGTAGCTGGTTCCGAATAAGCTGGGTTTCTTGGGCAGTTTGTGCCTACAGCCACTCACTATGGTCATAGACTATTGTAGTCAAAGTAGGTTTAGGCTGACTTCTGCAGAGAAAGCCTAACCTTTTAAGGCATTGCTGAAATCCCACTTGTCCTACCTCACCCCCAGATCTCCATAGCACCATGGACTATACTTCTAACTGGCCTGGACCTAGCTTTTCTGACAGCTGGTTCACCACCTCACTCCAAGGCACACTGTTCCCCTGAGGGAAGAAAACAAGCCTGCCAAAGCTGATTAACACTCTGGATTCTCCAACGAAGACTTCTAGACCAGTCAGCAAATTTCCCAAATGCACCAGGTCCCTGAGAGGTTGGTCTACAAGCTGTAGGTTGGATAGCTGGATTCATTTATTTTTTTAACTGGCTTGAGGAATGATTGACATACAAAAGCTATAGATATTTAATGTATTCAACTTATTCAACTTAATGAGTTTGGAGATAAGTATACAACCATGAAACCATCATCATAATCAATGCCATAAACATACCTATCACCTCTAAAAGTTTCCTCCCAGTCCCTATGTTATGGTTATTTTTTCCTTTTGTGGTAAGAGCACCGTATAAGACCTACCCTTACAGTAAAATTTTAAATAGACAACACTGTTAATCACAGGCGCTATGTTGCACAGTAGATCTCTAGAACTTATTTATTTTGTATACCTGAAGCTTTATACCCTTTGACCAATACCTCTCCATTTCCTCCTCCCTGTAAGTTGGATTCTTCCTCACTGAGGAAGATGGGGCAAGACTGAGCTCACATAGAAATCACCTGCTAAACTGGAATAATGAGTCAACTTCACAGGTTCCTAAGCCCCAGGAACATCATTCTGGGCACAATCCCATGACAATAAGCCAGTAGAAATGCATTTACCTTCCTTTGGCGCGGGAATTTTGGAGTTGACTGATCTGCGCTTTTGTTTCTGAAAAACAAAACATACCACCATCATATATGGCTCTTTTCAATTCTCAAGGGCCCAAGTGCCATGCTGAAGTCCTAGGCAGTCTCAGAAAACAATCCAGCAAAGAGCCAAAAGCCAAGTGAATCTCTGGGGCACTGGCTGCAGCCAGAAGACAGGCACCTACCATGACATTCACCTGCAGCGGCAGATTATCCTTCGGGTGTAAGGGAAGAGGCTGTAAGAGTTCTGGGTTTATTGCAGCCACATCATCAAAATCAATCTGCAAGGAGCAAATGAAAGTTTTGATGAAATAACATAGCTTTTTCAATCCAACTGCATCTCTGCAACCAAGATTCAGATTTTACCAACTTTAAGTTCCACCAAGTACTAATAGCTATAAACAAATATTTATTCCTTAGCTGTGGTTTACCATCTGGATGTATATTGGTTTCCGATTTCCAAGCTATGGTAGATGACAGTGATGAGAACGAGATGAAGACAGGCAAACAGTCAGGTAGCCCACGGTAGACTTGGGGTACCTGGTTCCCCCACTGTCCTGCTGGGCAGTGGGATCCTGCTGGGCTCAGTGCCTGAAACACTTCTTGCTGGCTGACATGAAGGAGGAAACAAGTTCTAACTGTCCCAGTGATAGGTAAAAAGGAAGAGCCCTTGAGGATCTTATGGGCAGGGACATGTTCCAGAGAGCTGCTACCTAACCCTAATCTACCTACATTTTCTAATAGGCCCAGAAACTTCTTCCCCAGTCACAGCGGCCTGCTCATGCCTGCAGTGCAGTCACAATTCTAGGTTTACATCACCAGAGTCCTGGAACTCTCGAGGGACAACTCAAACACACTAAGGCAGCGGTTTTCAACCTGTGGGTCGCGACCCCTTTGAGGGTCAAAAGACCCTTTCCCCAAGGTTCGCCTAAGACCATTGGAAAACACATATATTTACATATTGTTTTTGTGATTAATCACTATGCTTTAATTATGTTCAATTTATAACAATGAAATTGGGGGTCACCACAACATGAGGAACTGTATTAAAGGGTCGCGGCATTAGGAAGGTTGAGAACCACTGCACTAAGGTGAGAGCTTTACCTCCTACTTATTAACTAGCTTATTAAACAATTCATTATGCGCCCTAGCTGATTTGACTCAGTGGATAGAGCATTGGCTTGGGGACTGAAGGGTTGTGGGTTTGATTCCAGTCAAGGGCACGTACCACGGTTGCAGGCTCAATCCCTGGCCCTGTGTAGGAGGCAACCAATCGATGTCTCTCTCAAGTCGATATTTCTCTCTGCCTCTCCTCCTTCTTTCCACTGTCTAAAAATCAATGGACAGATCCAGAGACAGAGAAGCATTGATCAGACCGTCAAACCTCAGAGGGAAGGCAGGGGAGGGTGGGGGTAAGGGGGAGAGATCAACCAACCAAAGGACTTATATGCATGCATATAAGCATAACCAATGGACATAGACACCAGGGGGGGTGAGGGCATGAGCAGGGGGGTGGTGGGGCAAAGGGGGGATAAGAACACATATGTAACATCTTAATCAATAGAGCTTTACCTCCTACTTATTAACTAGCTTATTAAACAATTCATTATGCGCCCTAGCTGATTTGACTCAGTGGATAGAGCATTGGCTTGGGGACTGAAGGGTTGTGGGTTTGAAATGTATTATGCACAAGTAAGGCAATAGAAAGAGATATTCAAAGATGAATTAAGACATATTGCCCTTCGTTGAGGTCCTGGGGTGGAGGCGGGCTGGAGTGGGTGAATGGGGGAAGAAGAGGGACATAGGTAATACTTTCAACAATAAAGAATTATTTTTTTAAAAAAACGACATGTATCGCCCTTGCCTTCAGTGAGCTCACACTCTAATGTGGGGGAGAGTAGTCATATATACAAAGGGGGAGAAACCAAAGCAGCATGGGATAGACAAGGAAGACAGAACAACTGAATGCAAAAGCTGGCAAATACTTCAGGAACCATATTTCTATCCACTTTTTTTGGACAGCTACACGCCCTTACTACACCCCCCCCCCCCCCATTTCCGATCCCTAAACTCCAGAAAGCATTAACAACATGGGAAACCAGAGCCCTAATCCTAGTTCTGAAGTTCTGACACTAACTGATTTTCACATTGATGATTAAGGGTGAACATCCCAAGAGGAAAGAATGAGTGTGAAGGCAGCAAGGCCCCAGGCATGGTCAGAGTGGGGAGCTGCCCCACTTGCCCCTGGCACAAGATATTTTGTGTGATACAAAGAAAAAGGTTGATTGGGATCAGATCTTGAAAAGCTTCTGAATGCCGCACAAGAAGTTTGGACCTTATTCTACAGGCAATATATGAGCTGGAGTGAGACCCAACAAGAGCTTTATTTCTAAACAAACAACAACAAAACAAAACAAAACAAAACAAAGAACTAGCAGCTGGTTGAAAGCATTTTTAGAAACTTCTTTATTCAAGGGCAGATAATGTAAAGTTTTCGATTTGTTTATTTCTCCAATATAGCACATAAATATCTGCATACCTACCATAAGGTGCTACCCTAAGTAAGCCCTGTACATTATCTCATTAAGCTCCATGAAGGAGGGCCCAGGTCTGTCTCACCCACACCTCTATCACCAGCAACAAAAACAGTGTCTGTCTTTCTTATTGAATTTTCTCTTGTGTGGCACTTTGAAACCTGCACAAAAGGATTTGTTGACTAAATCCTCACACCAACCCTATGAGGTAGATATTATCATCCTCATAGCTGAGGAAACTGAATTTTTCTAAAAGGGGCAGAAACATGCCTGAGAACATATAAAATAGTGGCAAACTTTCCGCCATCGGTCTGTGCTGCCATAATGGTGCGCATAAATGTCCTGGCTGATGCTTTGAAGAGTATCAACAATGCCGAAAAGAGAGGCAAGCGCCAGGTTCTCATCAGGTCATGCTCCAAAGTCATCGTCCGGTTTGGTTTCTGACTGTGATGATGAAGCATGGTTACACTGGCGAATTTGAAATTATTGATGACCACAGAGCTGGGAAAATTGTTGTGAACCTCACAGGCAGGTTGAACAAGTGTGGAGTAATCAGCCCCAGATGTGATGTGCAACTCAAAGATCTAGAAAAATGGCAGAACAACTTGCTTCCATCCCGTCAGTTTGGTTTCATTGTACTGACAACCTCAGCGGGCACCATGGACCATGAAGAAGCAAGATGAAGACACACAGGAGGGAAAATCCTGGGATTCTTTTTCTAGGGATTTAATACATATGTGGAAATAAAATGCCTCAAAGGACAAAAAAAAAATAGTGGCGAAGACAGACTAGAACCCAGGTTTTCATACTCCTGGCCTGGTGACCTCTTCTCCACACCTCAATGCCTCTAAAGCATAAATGTCTTAGTCACAGCTCTCCTCTTCTCAAAATTCGTCCAAGGCACCCCACTGGCTACAGAATAAAATCTCAAACATCTTAATGCCAGAGATGAAGACCAGCAGCCTGAGCCTTCTACTGCTTGCAGCCAGCTTCTTCATTAGTCCCCATGAGGGCCATCTGCTAAGCCTTCCTGCCACTCCCACAAGCCCAGCTCATCCTCAACGAGTTCCACCTCTGAGCTGCCCTAGCACTATTCACCTGCACCATTTATCACAAGTTGCCTTGTTATGTGGTGTTTCAGAAACATACATTCAGAAACAAACATATGCATTCAGAAGCTAGCTTGGGTGAGCATGGTTTTAGGATTCTGTACAGTTTGCTTTCTACAAACACCAGAAATTGTTGATTGCTGCAATTCAGAATAGGCCTTACTAAATAAAATCCCAATGCATCCAAACAGGATCATGTTTGAGATCAGGAAGGACAACACAGTGTCAAAAACAGGCTCTCAGTCCGGCTGGTGTGGCTCAGTGGTTGAGCAATGACCTGTGAACCAGGAACCAGGAGGTAACAGGTCAATTCCAGGTCAGGGCACATGCCCAGTTTGCAGGCTCAACCCCCAGTTGGGGTGGGTTGGAGGGTGGGGGGTGCAGGAGGCAGCAGATCAATGATTCTCTCTCATCATTGATGTATCTCTCTCTCCCTTTCCCTCCCTCTCTGAAATCAATAAAAAAATATTTTTTTTTAAAAAAAAAATATATGAAAAGAAAAACAGGTTCTCGCCTGGCCTGCATGGCTCAGTGGTTGAGTGTTGACCTGTGAACCAGGAGGTCAAGGTTCGATTCCTTGTCAGGGAACATGCCCCATGTGGGGTGTGCAGGAGGCAGCCAATTGATGATTCCCTCTCATCTATCTCTCTCTCCCTTTCTCTCTGAAATCAATAAAAATATATTAGAAAACAAAACAATACAACAGGCTCTCGGCCAAGATTATGGTTCCGATCCCCAGTCAGGGCCCATACAAGAAGCAACAAAATAAAAGAGAAACAAACAAAGCAACCAATGAATGTACAAGTAACTGGAACAACAAATGGATGCTTGTTTCCCTCTCTCTCGCCCCCTAAAATCAATCAATAAGAAATGTTTTAAAGGCTCTCACCAGTCCCATTTCCACACAGATCTGTAGGTAGAACCTACCTCTTTGCCCTTTGTGGCACCTCCTTCTATCCATTCCACTGAAACACAGGCTTTCTCCAAGTCCACAGTCCTTACATTGGCACTGTGAATTAGGCCTAGAATAGAAGAAGGCCAGAGTTACCCATCTTCTTCACTTTAAGATCCCACAGAGCCGGGTCAGCGTGGCTCAGCGGTTGAGCACCATCCATGCACCAGGAGGTCCCGGGTTCTATCCCCCTCAGGGCGCATGCCCGGGTTGTGGGCTCAATCCCCAGGGGGGCCGTGCAAGGAGACAGCTGATCCATGTTTCTCTCTCATCCATGTTTCTTTCTCTCTCCTTTCCTATCTCTAAAAAAACCAATAAAAACATATTTTAGAAAGATAAAGATCCCACAGAGATTCTCAATGTGGAGCTGACCTGAAGGAAAGGACAGCTGCCTTTCTTCCTTAACAGGAGCCAAATTCCTGGCACTTCACCCTTAGCACATCCCATAGTGAGGCGGGCAGAGAACAAGTCTTAAAACCGAGCTGACGGGGATAAGGATTCAGCCCTCGCCCCCCAAAGAGCCTACAGAGTGGGGCGAAGGTCTGTTTGGGGAGTCACTCTAGTCCTTGGGTGAACTGTCCCTCAACACAGCGCTGAGGCTTTAGCGCCCTCGGGTTCCCCTACCTTCATCATGACGGTTCTCCTAATGACAGAGAGAGAGAGAGAGAGAGAGAGAACACAGAACAATCTCCTGAAGAGCAGGGATCTGTCCCTACCTTCATCCTGACGGTTCTCCTAATGGAGAGAGAGAGAGAGAGAGAGAGAGAGAAAGAGAGAGAGAGAGAGAGAGAGAGAGAGAGAGAGAGAGAGAACACGAACAGAACAATCTCCTGGAGAGCAGGGATCTGTCTGGTTACACTGAGCCCCAGCGCCGGACACACTGCAGGTGCGCAGTGTTTACAGGGGAGCAGCGGGCGAGGAAGCCGAAGTCCCTGCAAGACCAGGCAGTCTCCGAGAACTGTGGAGAGGAAGTGACTCTAGCACCGCTAACTCGCCCGGAAGGTCCCCCGGCCCCGAAGAGCCCCGCCTCTCCCAGAGGACCGGAGGGGGCCAACCGCCAGGCAGGGCCCCGCCCGGGTGGGGAAGACGGACTGCCAGTGCACAGACCCGGACCTGTGGTGAGAGGCATCCCCAACGGTGTCTCAGGGCCCTGCCGTCTGGGGAGGGGCAGTCATTTCAGCCGCCTCAGAGCCCACGGCCCCCCGGCCTCGGGACCCCGCCCCTCACCATTACTGCGCTGGATCTTGATGTCGAGACCGGGAAACAAGCGGGCCTGAAGCGTCGAGTCCATTGGGCAGTCAGTCGGCAGATGCGCCGGGGGAAAAAAGCACCGAGAACCTCCAACTCCCCTAACTCGACGAAGTCCTAACGCCCGTAAACCGCCGCAGTTTAAACCCCGCGCGCCAGCGTCCCTGCGCTTCGTCACGCCGTCGCCGGCCTCGCTTCCGCCAGTCAGCCGCGCCCCGCGGAGCCTTTTGGGAAATGTAGTTCCCCGTCGGTCTTCCGGAGCCTGGGACCGCCCACTTGTCCGGCAGCACCACGGAGCGCAGGGCCTGCTGGGAACTCCGGGAGCTTGCGGGCAGCTGTTGCTCCTTCCTGCCTTTATGTCCGAGGGCTCCTGGACTGCTGAGTTCCCCAAACAGGAAACTTCCGCGGCGGGTGCGGTGTTTGAGGGAGCGCTCTGGGGACCTGCAGGCCTCCGGCTCCTTCAGCTACTAGCTCAGTGACGCAGACAAGCTAGAAACCTGACTCGGTTTCCTTCTTTGCACCATGGGGAGCATGTTTTCTCCCGCGGGGAGTTACTGCTGAGTTTAAAGGAGGAACTTATGTTTGAAGTGCGTGGAAGACACAGATTCACTAGATGTGTCTACCACGTGCTAGGCATGGTGCTAGGTGCTGGAGGTAGTTCTTTTGTTGTTGTTTTTTGTTCTGGAGATAGCAGTTCTTGCTCTCCTTGACTTAACATCTATATGCCTAAGCAACCATTTGACCATTTAACCGGTAGCTATGATGTGCACTGACCAACAGGGGAAAGACGCTCAAAGCACAGGCATGGAAACATGGAACAGACTGATGAACCTCAGAGGGAAGGGGGAGGGTGGGAAGAGATTAACCAAAGATCTTATATGCATACCAGAGTCCCAGTGCATGGATTCATGCACCAGTGGGGTCCCTCGGCCTGGCCTGCGAGGATCAGGCTGAAACCAGCTCTCCGACATCCCCCAGAGGTCCCGGATTGCGAGAGGGCACAGGCCAGACTGAGGGACCCTACCAGTGTACGAATCCGTGCACCGGGCCTCTCATTCTAATATGAACAGAGGGCAAAAAGAAGTAAGCAACTTACGGATTGTGGTAAGTGCTCTGAGGGAAACTGAGAGCTGGACTAGAGAATAATAGAGGAACCTTACTTTAGGTGAAGTGGCCAGAAAATAAATCTTTGAAGTGATACTTAACCTGCGTCTAGAGAACTACGAGGAACAGGCCTTATCAGAGTGGAGGGCACGGGGGGTGGAGAGCTTCCAGGTGATGATTTGAGAATGATGTGTGCAAAGGCTCTGAGGCAGGAAAAATCTTGGTTTGGAAGAACCCAGAAGCCAGTGGGCTGATCGGCAGTAGGTGAAGTCATTTATCATCTATCTGGTAGCTTGTAGTAGAGGTTTTTGGCTTTTATTCTAATGAGAAGTCACTGAAGTTTAAGCAGAGTGACAAGATGTGAGCTACATTCGGTGTTTTGCGGATCAGACTTGCTGTGTGGAGAACTGATTTGAAGTGAGAGCATTAGCAGGCCAGAGAGGATGCCTGCCTAGCCTAGGTAGTGACAGTGGGATGCAGCGAAGAGAAAGGACTACAGGTGCATCTTGTTTGGCAAGTGGAGTGAATGGGTCTTTGCCGATCGGTTTGTGAAAGGATTTCAATCTAAAATGAAACCAGAGGATGTGAAATGGAGAATCTCACCTGTGCCCTCAGAGGAAAGGAACTTGAGAACGGAGAGACTGATTTCCCATAAATGCCTGCTTTACAGAAGATGGAGACTTCTCTCCGGAACAGTGAACACCCACTAAGAATCCCTCCTCTTCCTCAAGTCAGTGAAATGACTGCTGGGACTCTGGCTGAATTTTCCCTTCTTTGTGCTGCTTGCCCATATATACATCCTGTCCCAAACCCTCAACAGACTAGCCTGTAGCTTGCTACAGCATGGGTTTCCAGAACTGCAATTCCTCTCCTGTTCCCGAAAACAAACTCCATTTCTGGTCATCTGAGTTTGCTTCACTCTACCTCATTATTTAGGTTGACAGGTTTGGTGTGGGGGCGAAGGAGAAGGAGTAATCATGGATGACTCTTGGTTTCTGTTAGAGACACTGAGTGGATAATGATCCATTTTTGAAATAGGGGTGAAGGAAACAGGTTGGGGGTGGGGTTTCATTTTGGTCTTTTAGTCAGATGTCCGGAAGACTTCAGAGTAGAGATATCAAATAAGCAGTTGGATAGATAAGCTAGAAGTTCAAGGAGAGATCAAGGCCAGAGACAGGTTTGCAGTCATTTTATGTCATTTAGAGTCAGGGAATTGGAGGAGATATCCTAGGGAGAGAGTGTAGTTGGAGATGAGAAGACCCATAGCTGAGCCGTGGGGCATGCCAGCACTTTGAGGTAGGGCAGAGGAAGAGGAGCAAAGGAGGTGAGATTAGGGCTTGAAGGGATGAGGAAAACCAGGGCATGGAAGCTTAGGAAGAAGTGAAGGAAAAAGTAACTGGAGAGCTGCACAGAGGGCAGATAAGATGAGGACATAGCCAAACCGGTTTGGCTCAGTGGATAGAGCGTCGGCCCCCGGAGACTGAAGGGTCCCAGGTTCCATTCCAGCCAAGGGCACATGCCTGGGTTGGGGGCTCGATCAGTGGGGGGCGTGCAGGAGGCAG